GATCGCAAAAAAATGTTAAATGGAGTGAAAAAGGCTATTTTGAGATTTCTTAATACCGGATTTATAAAATGAAATTTTGGGTTGTTACATAAACCATCATAAAATAAATCTTTTGCAGCAAAAATACCCCTCCAACAAGAACCCGGGTTATTACTCAATATTGCACCAACAAAAGAAGTTTTAGGGTAGTACCTGGCTTTATAAACACGTGCCACTAACGAGGAGGGCTTAGTGAGAAAATGCCAACCTTGCTTAACCAACATAGCCAGATTAAATGCTCTCAGATCCTTGAAATCTAATCCTCCTAAGCTCTTAGGAGTGCAAAGTCTATCATATGTCATCCAATGAATACCACCTCCATTACTGCCTTCGGTACCCCACCAAAACCTTTGCATCATTCGCTCAATAGCCACACAGAGAGAGTCAAGCAGCAAAAATACGCTCATAGAAAAAGTAGGCATTGCATGAGCCACACTTTTTAACAGGATCTCTTTACCAGCCCGTGACAGAAGTTTCTTGTTCCATGACCCAATCCTCTGTTTAATTTTATCTTCAATGTACGCAAAGACGGTCCTTTTATTATGACCCACGAAATATGGGAGACCCAAGTACTTACCAAAGTCATCAGTCTGATTCACCCCAGACCACTTACCACATCAGTATGGTCCATAGAGTGGGTATTGAGAAAGTATATAACTAGGGGTGACCACGGTTCGGTTCGAACTGAAGGTTCGAACCGTAACCGGTACTGTGCTAACCAAACCAGAACCAATAAGGTTCCGGTTAAGGTTCAAGAAATTCTGGAACCGGAACCAGACAATTCTAGTTCCAAACCGTGAAAAAAAAAAATTTAAAAAAAAAAAAGGCGAAGTGGCCCCTAGCGAACAAGTCATGACTCAAGAGATTCAAACTTCAATTCTTTTTGAAGAATTGAAGTTTGAATCTTTCAAAAAGGAATTATAAATTTGTTATAAATAAATAATAATAATAATGATAGCATGGAGTTGAAGCCTTGAAGGATGGGTATTTAACTATTTATAGAGCTAGAAATAAGATTATAAATACTATTTTTACAACATAAACATAGCTAAGTAAGTTAGACAGATTGGCTTGTTATTTTTGCATAGCATCCAACATTACCTAAGGACACATGTTCGATCCTCACCTTCGTGGCTTATATCTTTTATTTGAAACTTGTAAACTGATTGTATTGAACATTAAGTTAATATTAACATAATTGTGCATGTAACTTAGTGGGTAAAGCTCTTGCTTTATAAGGTAGATGGTTCAAACCTTATTTTTGACATCCACTTCGTTTCTTTTGTTCCAGTAAAATTGTGCGCAACAAAGCATACAATTTTTTTTTTTTTAAAAAAAAAACAAACAAACAAAAAAGGACAAACCTGATTAGGACCGACGGTTCTAAACGAAACCACCGGTTCATGAAACCCTTAATATAAGGTTTCGGTTCCGGTTCTGGTTTGTGATTTGGTGGAACCGTGAACTGCCAGTTCAGAACCGGAACCGAACCGTCGTCACCTCTATATATAACATATAACATATACTACGTTGTAAATAATCATGAGTATTTCAAACAAAAAATTACTTATTATACTTGTAATTTATTAGTCAAATGAATCATTTCTTCTTTACTTATTTTCTTTCATATATATATTTTTTGGTGTTTAATAGAGCTTTTAATATAGTTTCTAAATAGAGAAAATTTCAATTTTGGTCATATGACTATAGGGGTTTTGTTAATTTCAGCACCTAACTTTCAAAAGTGTCAATTTAGTACCTTGAGTATGTAATTTTTGTCAATTTTGGTCACTCCGGTCAAATTGCCAGCCAAATTTCGTCGAGAAATTTTAATAGTTGAAATAATGAGGGTATTTTAGTCATTTCACATCTCTTTTCTTCTTCTCCGGCGAGTCTACCATGTTTCAGTTGTTTCGGGCGAGTTCTCCCAGCTTCGAAAGTATAGGCGAAGCGGCTCAATGCCACTTTTAAAACCAAAACAAATCTAAACGCCACTTTTGCGAGCTTAACGAAATCAATGACCAAAGCATTTTGACTGGTAGCCTCCTTAGACTAGGCACCACTGACGTTGGGGAACCATCGTGGAGGACCAAATCGAAGGTTCTGCAGCCATTCAAGCATTTTCTTCTGCCCAATGAAGGTGTCGGCGAACGTGGAGAGCGCGAGTCCGCCGACCAGGCAACCGAGAAAGTACGAGGTGGCTGGCAGGTCGGTGATATTAGCCCCGATGCACTCCAAGGACCACTCGAAAACCACAAAGGTGTTCGGCGGACTCTGTGCGGCCATCCAATACTATTCCACTCGTCGGAGAAGAAAGAGATGTCGTCCTCACCGTGACCGCCGTCCTCGCCGTGGTCTTGTTATTCCCTCTCTTTGGCCGGAAATGTTAGCCTCCAATGCCAGAGCTCTGCTCTGCTTGAGATTGAGAATAAGGAAAGAAAAGATTTGGCTGGAAGCACCTCGTCGGAAAAGAAATGAAAAAGGGTAAAATGACTAATATTTTAATTACTATTATAAAAAATTAAATTAAAAATAATTTCACTAAAATCTCGTTAATTGAACCAAACATGTAAAATAAGACGAATGGGGTATTACACGTGCTCTTTCTTTTTTACTTTGACATTACACATTTTTCAATAAAATGAATACATGTGGCGAAAATAATATCCTATTCGTCTCATTTTATATGTTTGATTTGATTAACGAGGTTTAAGTAATATTATTTACAATTCAAAATGGTCGTCATCTCTAGTCGCCGATAGTGGCCACGCCTTCTCCGGCGATGCTTGGTCTCCGTCGTCAATTTTTATTGCCGGACAACTGCCAAAATTTTAGTGACCTGGTAATACAAGCATGGTTGTAGTATGCGCTAGGCGCTAGTCGGCAATAGAGTAGTGTCTAGCACCTAGGTGGCTAACTTAAAAAAAAAAAAAAAAAAAAAAAAAACAATGCACGTGTGTGGGTGTATGTCTCTCTCTCTCTCTCTCTCTCTCTCTCTCTCTCTCTCTCTCTCACACACACACACACACATACACACACACACACACACACATATATATATATATATATATATATATATATATATATATATATATATATATATATATATATATATATATATATATATATATAATGAAAATAAAAAATTAGCAAGGCCGAGTCGTCCGAGTTAACTCGACCGAATTTGACCTAGTTCGCTGCCGACTCAGTTGAGTCGGTCGAGTTAGGGGCCTAGATGGACGCCTAGGGGGAATCACCACAACTTAGAGGTGCCTAGCGCCTAGGCGGCCGCTTAGGCCGTAATTGGGCCTTGATGAACTAAATTGAGATGTTTATGTACTTACAACTTTAAAAAGTTTGAAGGCCTAATTGATTTTTCAAGTAAAGTTTGAGAGCCTATTTAACCACTTTCTCTATAATTTATAAAGAATGAAGTTTATTTTATATATATCATCAAAGGGTCACCTTTGTGTGAGATGTCTTACAGATCTTTATTTGTGAGACGAATCATATCAATATGCAAATGTAATATTTATACTAGCAAATGTAATAATAAATATTACACGATTTGTGACTCCGTGAGACAATATCACACAAATTTTTACCATCATCAAATCGTAAATACCCATTTCCTAGTTCTAGTCCTAGTAAAATAAAAGGAAAATGGGAAAATGTCACTTTTTTCCCTTGAATTATATGGTTATAGCACATTTCCCCCTACGTTGTTTATATAAGCACATTAGCCTTCTCAATTATTTTAAAAGTGGCGGTTTCTTCCCCTGATATATTAAATTGACATTTCTACCCTTAAAGTAAACCTTTTATTTATTTTTCTTGTCCAACAAATTATTGCTTATACGTATGGATAATCACGGTTCAATTCGAACTAAACCGGACACTATAGCAATCGAATTAAAAGTTTCCGGTTATGATTCAGATGCAGAACCCAATATTTGGACTTCAGTTGATTAAAATTATGAATTGGAAAAGTTAGATCCTGAATCGTGAACCAGCAGTTCCAGACCCGGTTCGCGATTTTGAACTGTCTTTATTTTAAAACTAGTATTGTCCCGTGCGATGCACAGACTAAATATTAAAGATTTGTTTGTAATGTTAGAATAGGTAAAAAATATTTTTAATAATGGTATTTGAAGTACAGAAGAAGAAAACATTAACCACAATTTAATTGTTTAAAATTACATTTTTATTAAGTATATGACAAAATAATTATGATATAGTATTTACAATATTTAATTTAATAATTGAAAATAGTATGATACAAAAAGTTACTATTATTAATCGCAACTAGCGGTATACATATTTGATCTTGAGTATGTCTACTCCTAGTATGCTACCCATGCGATGCACGGAATGAATATTGGATAATATTATAATAATATTATTTATTAAAAAATACATAACCTAACATCAACATAGTTGCAATTCATATTCATATATATATATATATATATATATATATATATATATATATATATATATATATATATATACACACACATATACCATATGGTCTTGTGAAAATTAAATATTGTTAATACCAACATCTAATCTAATCTAACTCTATAATAAAGCAATAAGTTTTGCCAATCATTGTTTCCCGCCCAATGAAAACGACGCAGTTTTGGTTTATTGATATTTATCCATCTAAGAGGTTATTTGTTCTGCGCGTGTTATGTGATTATGCATTGGTAGTACGCACAGCCGTTTTCAAAAGGCAACTATTCGTATTAACTTAGCATACACTCCTTGGCTCCCAAGGAGTTCAATTAATGTAGAACTCTTGGAAGTTTAAACAAAATAAATATTAGAAACGCATCAGGCCTACAATTTCGAAGATACATGCAAGTAAATAACAAGAGAATATTATACATATTACACGGAATATGCAGAGTTGCAATCTGCAAATACACATTCAATGAGATGTGCGAATTCCAAAACATTGGCTGCTGATCAAAATCAATGGTAAATTTGAATTATGAACCTGTATAAATACCCCGGTTCTTCAGGGCAAAAATCCTTCACACATTAAGTTCAGTTTACTTCCTTTTCGAAATAGTATTGGTCTGTCAAGATGCCAAGCATGTTCGTTGCTGTCAAGAATATCAAGTCGGAACACCAGCTCAGGGCAATCCGGGTGAGAGCAGTAAGGGTCTATGAAGTGCCTGAGAAAAGGGGAGAAGGGCAGGCCAGTAAGAGCGTGGAAGTATTGTTCCATGATGAAGAGGTAGTGTTCTTTATTTTCAAAAAATCATATTCATGCTATCTACAAATCTAATGGTCTATAAATGTGTATAAATTTTTTTTAGGTTTTTGCCGGGGAGACTACATTCATGATATGCTATCTACTAACCTAATGATCTTTTGCTGTGTAAAATTTTTTGTCTATTTTATTCGCAGGGAGACTACATTCATGCCAGTATTATTAAAAAGGACATTGGAAAGTATAGAGATATAATCAAAGAAGGGAAAGTATTTGAAATCAAGAACTTCAGGGCTTCTACAAACTACTATGTCTACAAGATTACACAACATGACTTCCTAATCAAATTCAACTATAGAACACAAGTGAAGGAGATACATTCTAATGGCTTTCCTTGCAAAATGTTTTGGCTAAAGAGTTTTTTGGCTTTGAAAGATCCTGCTGATGTGAATGACAAGGAATTGATTGTTACTATCTTTACTTTTTTAACTACTAATATCTTCCTTAATCTATTTTTAGTAGTGTTTTCTAATATTTTGTTAAATTGGCAGATGTGATTGGAAGGGTGGTTGAGGAGGAAACAAACAGTGATGCAATCTCTGAAGTAAGCCTTTCATATCCTTACTGCTCTAGAATATTTTTTTTTTTTTTTATGATGGTGGCTAAATTGGTTTACTGATTTTGTTAATAATAGGAAGCCTCTATTGGAGTGGAAGTTAATAGTCCTGCCTCTATTCAAGCCATAGTCCTGCCTCTATTCAAGCCTCACAAAAGGAAGTAGATGACAATGCTGACAACTCAGGAGATATTAAAAGGTCACTTTTGGATGAGTTTTCATCATCCAAAAGTAGGAAGAAGTTGAAGGAAGCACAAATTAAAAAGGAAAAAATGTAATTGTGACCTTGGTTGAAACTGATTGTTGTGGACCTGCCCTATCCAGACTTAAAGACTGATTTTTTTTGTTCTTATTATGGTTTATTTAATCCTGATGATCTCTGAACAATATTTTTAGTTCTAATCCTGTTGATCCCTCATTATTAAAGATTATTTTTGGGATATTTTCTAATTATGGTTTACTGTCTTGATGAGATTGCTTAACTCATTGTTACCATATATTGGTGCCTCTACTGCTACTATTATAACCTGTTTTGCAGATTTTCTAACTTCATTTCAAGTGATTGGGAAGGATGATAGGTTTTAAAATGCAGAAACAAGGGACAAAATTTGGCAAGGAACTTATACTTTGTAGATGTAGTTTTGTATAGGTTCCATTAGATATTAAACTTCTCCTATAAAACTGTGTAAAGATACTAAGAACATTGAATGGCAAGAACTTTTTAAAACTTTCTAATACAAGTATAACCTCTTAGAACTAAATAACTTGTGCCTAAAATATAAAGATAGGTTTACTCACCTATTTGCAAGTTCTTCTTTTACTGTGTTTGCAACTCTCAAATCCAATTTTGGTCCATGCTGGTTTCTACCAAAAACTGCTAGCACATATGAAAATGAATTAATACGCATCACTTAAGTGAAATCTTTGTAATACAAAATAAAGTTAACTAAAATTAAAAATAAAATTGTTCAACTTCAGAATCTAAGTACTAATCTTAGGTTAAGCTTTCAAAGAATCCATATTGAGAAACAAACTACTAATCATAGGGTAGTGCCTGATTCTTAATCTACCAAATCTATTGGCTCCAATAAAGCACAGTAGCATAGAAACACTCAATCTGTTAGAATATCCTTAAATTAGAAGAAATACTTTGATACTACACCTAACTTTAATCTTCTGTGATATAGAATAAAAAAAAAAAGTAATTTTAAAAAAAAAAATCTAAGTCAAAAAAATTTGGAAAACATCCTTAACTTTTGAAATATTTTTAAATGTGGTGCAATTTAAATAATACAGTAAGTACTGCTCTTAGGTTAAGCTTCAGGAATTATTTATGTATCTAAATAGTTTCATTACTCTACCAAAGCTCTTAATTGTTCTATAGAATGACTTATATATATACACTAGAAGACTGATAGCTGAAACAAAGAATTCCAAAAAGTATTGGATTAATGGTATATTCATCCAACAATCAAAGAAAGGGCCAATTTGAAGTATATGAACTGGGTCTAAAATTGAGGACAATTTGTTAACAAAATTCTGTTTAATTAAAAGTTTCTATTGCCTTGCAAACTAAAATGAACAAACTTACAAACTATGCAATTATATGCATACAAACTAATCTAAAGAACAGGAAAAAAAATATAAAATCTTAACCTATTTGCTTAGATCCCCATGCTGCTTTTAGTTTCTTTGATTGATGTCTTATTTTCTGCTTGATTCTCTACAATTCCACCAGAGCTTGGGTTATTCCATCCTCAACAAAATAAGACAAAGAAAAAAAAAACAGGTTAGAAATTGTATTACTGTATTAAAGAACAACACCAAAAGGAAAGGATACACTGGCACAAAAAACATTTTTAGAGATATTTATAAAGGGAAGGATACAATAAAATTTAATGTTAACTTATCCTTAATTGTTCTATATAATGACTTATATACAACAATTAAATACACTAACTAATGCAAATTGGATACTTTAAGTTACTAGAAGACTGATAGCTGAAACAAAGAATTCCAAAAAGTTTTGGATTAATGGTATATTCATCCAACAATCAAATAAAGGTCCGAGTTGATGTATATGAACTGGGTCTAAAATTGAGAACAATTTGTTAAAAACTAATCTAAAGTCAGGAAAATAAATGTAAAATGTTAACCTATTTGCTTAGATCACCATGCTGCTTTTAGTTTCTTTGATTGATGTCTTATTTTCTGCTTCATTCTCTTCAATGTATCCAGAGCTTTGGTTATTCCATCCTCAACAAAATAAGAAAAAAAATAAAAACAGGTTAGAAATTGTGTGTCCAATATTAAAGAACAACACCAAAAGGAAAGGATACACTGGCACAAAAAAGATTTTTAGACAATTAGAAGCAAAGAAGCAATGTGTTCAATATTCTACAAACTTATATACAAAAATTGAATAAAATGGAATTATTGGGCTGTGAAGTAAAAACTAATCATTCTTAGGGAAAGTAAAACATTCTTTAGATATTAAATATAATTGATGGCCAGCTATCATTACTATTAAGAGAAAACCCTTCAGTTCCACTTCGAATCGCAAAATCATTGAAAAAATATAAATTTGCTACAATGAACCAATCTACTGATAGCTGCCCCATCTAACTACAAAAATAGTTTTCCAGTTTGAGACCTCAGCCAGAGAGACAATTGACATTAGCAGTTGCAAGTACACACAATAGACAATGCAATGAAGAAGATTACTAAGTCAACAATTATAGGCATCAAAAGGAAACCAAGTGAGCAAAATAAAGGTAAGTTCGAAACTTATCTTTTTTCATACTTTAAATGAAGCTTCATTTTTGCATCCCTATTGCTTTCCGATTCTGTTTATGCTCTCCATCTCCTCCAATAACTCCAGTATGTCCATAAAAAAAAAAATAGATTAGAGATTACAGTATGAAAAATAGATTAGAGATTACTCCTCAAAAAGTAGATTATAGGTGAGTGTTTGTGTGAATAATAATATATTTATAGCATTTAGCACATGAAAAAAACACACTTAACCGTAACTTCTCAATCTGGTGTTTTTAGAGCAGCATTAAAAAGAACACGATTTAGAACCCTAATTGCGGTGAATCATACAAATCTGAAATTAAGAGATTTTATCTATGAGAATCGATCTGCATGCTTAACTATTCTTACTAAGGAGAAGAGATTACAGTATGAAAAATTGATCAATTTCGAATTGGACAACAGTCATGCATAAGAAACCCTAAACGAATTGACTGAAAGATGGAAGCATACTAATTAGAATGCTGTAATTTTTTTTTATTTGAAGAAATAAAGAGTATTTTTTTTCATTACAAACAACAAAGTCTATTTTAAGCCTAATACAAGAAATATTGTAGTACAACTAATCATGCATTGAGAATTATACCAGTTACATACTGTCAGTACAACTTAAACAGTCAAAATTAATGTATATACTCAACAGATTTGTGTAAAAATTCATACACATAGATAACTATTGCATAGCTAAAACAAAAAAAAAAAAAAAAAATTATCAATGCATTGAGAGTTCTACAAGTTACATACTGTCCTACGTCTTAAAAGAAAATGAATAATGAGCAGGTTAGGAAAACTTACTTTCGTAACTGAGGATGGATTGCATAAACTTAACACTGTAGAGCATAACCTGTAAATATAATTAAGATATCATATTAAGTAACACAATTACTTTTTACTATAAAATTAAAGTAGAATCTTTAATCCAATAAAAACAAGAGAGCTTAATATAAGTCCAAGGGACAAGAGAGCTTAATATAAGTCAATACTTAATTTAAAGTTTAAGTATGAAAAAAAACATAATGTTAAAAATAAGTATTACTTAATTTAAAGTTTAAGAACACTTACTTGACATTTCAAGTGTCAAGCCATTTGAACCTCCTTCAAATAAGTCATTTGGTCCCTGGAAATATACTGTTACAAAACAGTAGTCGGACATTAATAAGCCATAGCAATTATTAGTTTTCAATAGATCCTTTTTTTTTTTTTTTTGTTTGTATCAGTACACAACATGTATATGAAATCTAGGCTGAAATTAAACAAATCAATGTAGAAGATACTTAGCTTTCTTCATGCTCGAATGTATGAAGCTACTCATTCTGCAAAAAAAAAAAAAAAAATTAAAAAAAAAATTAAAAAAATTAAAAAAATCCACCATCAACAACAATCAACACATTTAATCCCCACCCAAGTACTGGAAAAGTTAAATAGATTAGCCTAACAACGCATGCATTGCAAAATTTAAAGGAAAAAAAAAAAACCCTAGACAGACAATTAAGTGAACCTAATGCACAAATCGGGTAAAATCTTCATAGATTATGTCTTCTTAGACTTTAAATTGAAGAAATTCATAAACATAATCTACAAATGCTTGGCTAAATTAAACGAATTAGATAGATTTCATAGAAGGATTATACTTACAACGATGATGGTAGCAACCTTCGTCTTCACTGTTAGCTTAGATTTATGGTAGTATGATTGCCAAATTTGTGATGCTTGAACAATGATTGCATCACAAATCTGGAAAATCAAGTAATATAGAGACATAGAGGTAATAGATAGATAGATGCAGAGAGAGAGAGCGATAGTGAGGAAGAGAAATGTGTAGGTGAGATATTCCGGGTAAGAAATGAACACAAAGCTTTCTGACCCTTCATTTTTGTTTTATATATATACATACATATATATATATATATATATATATATATATATATATATATATATATATATTGAAATGATGTGTGTGCACGTGTAACCTGCATAATAAATTTGAAATTTGAGGTGTAATGCATATATTATTTATATATATAATCTATATTATATATTACACACACACACACACACAAACACACACACACACACACACACATATATATACATATATATATATATATATATATATATATATATATATATATATTTGTATATAGAAATATATAAAAAAAATTATAGAGATTAATTAATAGATAGTGTTTATATTAGAGATTTTTATATAATATATAATTTGTACTATTTCAATTTTTTTTAAATTTTATTTGATTGTGTCTGTAGAAAATGAACCCGTATTTGTTTATGGACAATTATATGATGTTGTATTCAGATTAAGTAACTCAGACGGTCTTAAGATATTAATTTGAGGCGAAACATAAAATAATTGTACTTACTGATGTAGTTTATAAAGAGGTTTTTTATAATTTGTAATTTAATTTTTTCTACCAATAATATTTTTCCTTTTTTGCACAATAACACTTTATTTTTATTAAAATTGTATTTACCCCGTGCATCGCACAAGACAATATCTAGAAAAATACTAATTATGCTCCATATGAGAAAGCAAAATACTAAGTACATACCACCAAAGTTAAAAAATAGGAAAAAAAATGTGATTCAAAAGGCATAGTAAAATAATGATTTAAGGAACAGAATCATTTAAACCTTTTTGTTAAATAGAAAGTCTACATTGTACGTAGCTGTTTCAAGTGTTAGTAATCCAATAAGTTTAAAATTTTTGATTTGTGGCGAACATGTACCATGTCTAAGTACGGCTAAAAAATGTTATGTCCAAAAGAAGTTTTCAACAATGTGTAATAAAATTTCATAGTTGATCATTTCAAATTTATTAGTTTTAAAATTGTATATTTTTTCATCTTATTATATTATACGAAATATTCTATATACATACACACACACACACACACACACACACACACACACACACACACACACACACACACACACACACACACACACACACACACACACACACACACACACACACACACATATATATATATATATATATATATATATATATATATATATACATAGCTGTGCATCACACGGGTGCAACTACTAGCTCTATAATAAAGCAACAACTTCTTGCAAATCAATTTCCCCCCAAATAAAAAGCTACCGTTTAGAGCCATAAGACAATTACAATCGTATTAAATGCTATTCACACACTTGATTGCAGATTCTGAGGATGCTTAGCCGAAATAACTCTTGGTTTTAAGAATAACTTTTGACAATTTGTTAAATTAAACTTAATAGATTAACAATAACGAAGAGGTAATAATCTTGAATGGTTTAATGGATGTTCTATGATTTATTGTTGTGGAGTAAAATAGTATTTACATTATAATCATATTTTATATTAAAATATTAAAAGTACTTTTAATACAAAGTCTTAATTTATGAAAAAATAAATTGTTTTAGTAAAGAAATAAAATTTGGTGTAATGGATTGGAGATAGAAAAAAAAAATGATATAAGAATATACAAGGAATATTTCTTATGGTGTAAAATTTGGTGCAGAGGCTTAGAGATGGCAATCGTTATTGTGTGGACTATAGTCCACAGAAGCTATGTTGATCATATTTTGTATGTTATAAAATAATGTATATTTAGTACAAAAATAATGTATTTTTAGAATATTAAAAATGTACTTTGTATTCAGAGAAATTACATTATTTGAATACTACAAATATATTATTTGTATAATGTACATTCGGTACAAAAATAATGTACGTTTTAATATATTAAAAATGTACTTTCTTTTATGGTCCATACAGCACTATGTGGACCATGGTTCACACAATAATTTGCCTAGAGATAGTTTTAGGGTTAGGAGAAAACATTTTATTAATTGTTTTATTGGGTTCGGGTTATGTGCTACATTATTGGATTAGTTTTGAGTCAGATTATTTAGAAGAAAAAAATGAAAGAAATAAAGTTTGACCCAAGAATTTATTATATTTAGTATATTTGTTTAGTAAAAATTATAAAATAACATTGGTGTAATGGATTGGAGATGGAAATAATTTGATGTAAAAATATACTGAAGCGGTTTGGCGTCTGTTTGGTTTTGATATACAGCTTAGGGCGCCTTCAGTGGAAAGGTTAAGCTTTCACCTTCCTAATCAACAGAGTGTGATATTTGCAAATGATGATGCTGTTGAGAACATTGTTAATAGACTTACTATAGCACAGAGCATGTTTTTGGAATGGTTTGAGGCAAATAAAGCATACCCCGATGCAAGAGAACTTACTTATGTTTAGATGCCAACACGATTCGTTTGGAAGAAAGACCTTAGAAAATGGTAGCCACGGAAAAAAGGGTTCTCAATCGGACGTATATTCTATGTCCCGCCAGCTACTGGAGAACTTTTCTATTTGAGGTGTTTGCTGAATAAAATCCGTGACAATGTGTTGGAAGGCCATATCATGTGCGGTACAAATGCAGGAACCAGAGTATTGATTCCTAGGATGTCACTTACACCGTCAGATCCAAGATTGCCTTTCAAATTTCAACGAAAGCAATTTCCTTTGATGCTATCCTATGCCATGACAATCAACAAAAGTCAAGGACAAACGCTTGCTAAAGTGGGGTTGTTGT